GGGGGCAACACTGAGGGTTGCAATCCGTTGCCGGACAAGGAAAAAAAAAAAAAAAAAAAAAAAAAAAAAAGCTCATGGGTCCACAGTCCTTTCTCAGAGACTGAAGGGGTCCACTAATGGACATTTTGGAGGCTCCCTCTATCTGGTGTTGGAACCAAGCACTGATGAGTCTCTGTTCACATCATGGGGCACACTTGGGGGTTTACCTGAGTGCAGGTCTCAGAGCAGAATTCCTGGGGCCTGATGGATCTAGATTTATTGGATGATGCCCAAATGCTTCTGAAGGGCCAGATCACTTGTCCCCCCAGCAGCCTGTAGCCAGTGACCCTGTGGCCTGGACCTTGACCTGGGTGTGTCCCAACCCTTCTGCTTGGACAGTGTCCCTGGTGTGCTCTGTGGCCATCCTGCACCCCTCACCCCAGTGAGTCTGACCATTTCCCTCTTTGTCCCCTCTGCTATGAAATGACTGCTCAGGTCTTTTGCCTATTTTCCTACTGGTTTTTTTTTTCTTTTTCTTTGCGATTTGGAGGTGTTCTTATACACTACTGAAAACAACCCTGTATTTCAATAGAGAACATGAGCAAGTATCTTACTGACCTAAGTCTGAGGAAAGGCCACCCACTGCCTGGTCAGCAGCCATGTCACTTGCCACCTGGAGCAGGGCTCTGTGTCTGGGCTCATTCATTCCATGGGCCAAACTGCCCTGATTCTGGAGCTCCCTGCAAACCCAAGTGTCTGTGAGGGCAGACCCCTCGCCATTCTGCTCCAGGAGTTCCTTGGGTTCCTTGCCTCTTTACTCTTCTGTGTGTTCTAGATTCAGCTCCTTAAGTGCCATGAAGAACCTGGAACCTTGATCAGAGTTACCTGAGTCTCCTGGTCAGCTGATGGTGTGGGGTTCCAGCCCACCCCCATAGGGCATCTCTTTCTTCACGGTCATATTCAGCACCTTGCAGTGAAAGTCTTCCTTGTCATCAGGTGTACAGGTGTGCACAGTGTGCCCTGGGGCTGGGCAAGAGGAGCCCCCACCCTTAACCACAAGGCTGCAGGCACACAGACCCTGCAAACTCAGACTCTTCAGCCTCATCAGGTGGACTGTGAACACCTGGCCTGAGGGGACAAGGGGGACCAAGTCGGGTGAGTTCATCCCCCTGCTTGTCTCTCAGGTTCTCACATGTTCTGCATGCCAGATCATGTTTTCATCCCTGTTAACCCCCAGCCCATCTAAAGACAATCAACTTCTGCCAAATTTCTTCCCCCTATTGAATTAACAACTATGTTGAGAAATAAAACCAAAGAGGAAAGCCATGTTACAGAAAGTCAGCATGAGAATAGGAAATCAGGTCAGACCTTTAATTTCTACTGTTAACAAGAGCACAGAGTCTCTGGAATCACGTTCAAAGGTGCATGGAAAGATGGTTCCAAGAGAAGCGATGTCAGCACGGCTCAGACATGTCCACTTGTGTGGGTGTCACGCCACTGTCAAGGCTTAGAAGCCTGCCTGAGTGTGGCCAAATGGAGACTCTGGTTTCACCTTGCCTCCTGCCTGCAAGGTTCCAAGGAGTCAAAGACAGGGACGGGGTTCCTGCTTGTGAGAAACTTAGGAAATTAAATAATCTATTTCAAAAGGGAGTGAATGAAAACTTATTCATTTATCCTCACTCAGAAGATAAAGAATAAACAAAAAGAAGAAAGACAGCAATCACAATAATACATTGAACTTTCAAAAGGAGAGAACAGCACTGAGGTTACTAGAAGTGGGAAGGAGGGTAAGGAAGGAAACAGTAAAGGGCCTCGAAAAACGATTACGTTGTATAATGTTGAATACACTGATTATCCTGGTTTGAGCATCACATGTTGCACACAGGTAAGGATATTCAACTCTGTTCCCCACAGACAGGTATAATCAACTATGATACAATAAAAAAAAAAAGACAAAACAAAAACACGTATATAGTTAAAATTATATTTAAATAGGGCCGGCCCGTGGCTCACTCGGGAGAGTGCGGTGCTGATAACACCAAGGCCCCAGGTTCGGATCCCATATAGGGATGGCCGGTTCGCTCACTGGCAGAGCGTGGTGCTGACAACACCAAGTCAAGGGTTAAGATCCCCTTACCGGTCATCTTTTTAGAAAAAAATTTTTTCAAAAAAAAAAAAATTATATTTAAATAAAAGTAACATTTAAACAGCAAGGGAACATAATTTCATCAAAAAAAAAGAGTAACAAAAAGTAAAGGAAGTAAAGGTGGCACATACATCTGCTAAGAAACCCCGACAGGACCAGAAGGACAAGCTGGAGGGAGCGCACCTTGCCTCAGGCTCTGCAGTAGGAACCACAGTGCGGCCGCTTGTGTCTGCTTTCCAGGGCAAAAGCTTTACAAAACACGTGTCGTATACTGTTTTATCTTTTTTTTTTTTTTTTTTTTTTTTTTAACCCAAAAGGGACCCCCCCACGGCTGTTTTAATTTGGGGCCCCCTTCCCACCGGGGGAAAAGG